CTCTTTTGCGAATCTCACTTGACCGGACCGAATCACTTTCTGTTCTCCTTTTGGAACGTTTTCAAATTTGTCCAAACTCTGCCTAATCAGTATCACAATTATACAATATTTCCAAAAAGGCGCATCTCTCAGGTGGGATTGATCAACACCTCAAGACTTTCTCCTTCTACTCCCAAACGATCAGAGACCACTTCTGGTATTCTTATCATTCGCTGAAAATTGGAGATGTGGCTTGACCGTTTCTTTAACGCGGTTGATAGGCTCAGATTCATTCTAACCGCTTAGTGCAGAATCTGACCCAATAAGTTTCTGGGTTAGATATTATCCAGTGAATGCCCTCACAGGAGCAGCAGGACTCTGTGAGATTTGATCCTGCGAGCCCTAAAAAGCCCGAAGTGATACTGCTGGCCGCTGCCTCATCCGGCCACTGTAACCATTTGATTGGCAACCTCTGAGAGTTCGTTCTTCTTGACTGACTGCTACAATTTCTCCACCAAAATCATCAAACGTTCAAAAGTGAAAAGCTCCCAATCCATGATTCACCCGATCAAATTCAAATTGACTTATTGAAGAACTGATCAACATTTCCTTTCAACATATTATTTCGTCATGATTCAGCTTCTCCTAAATGACGTTCCCAAGAGCGCCTCCCGCGATCATCAGTGGGGTACACCGTAGCCACCGAACTAGGACTGCTTGGTCGTGTTCCATCCACTCAATTTCGATTGTACACATGTTTTTTGAATCTTCTACACAAGCTGTCTATTTGAGGTCATTTCTGATCCTTTTCGCAATGTAGGAGACTACTTGGACAGCCCACAAGAGATGGGTTCAAGGAGTAGTGCAGTTTCTATGAGCCACTTCTACCAGTGACTTTATATTTTCATCTTAGTCACCTTGAAAATCACTTTCCGATTGTGGAAAAGTGTCAACTACCAGCTGGCCTTTCCTTCCTGAAAAATTTTTGTTTGCCGTAGGTACGTAAATTTGATAATTGAGCGTTTCAGCCTTATAGTTCCTTCCTTATGCTCGTTCTCTGAAGCTCCTCTTCAGAAGAACATCAGTTGGTAAACATTCAGCCCTCTTTTTCGGGATGGCTAGGCGTAACCTTCGATTATTTCTTACTCCCTGACTTGACACCAAAAAAATGACATCGCACCCTTTACGTGTTCTCTGTGGTGAGAACAAATGTCACGAAGATTCCCCTCTGAGAATCGCACGCGACCGACCGATAGTGTCGATCGGTCGATCGGTCGTATTCCATAGTCTTAACACCGAATGACTTGCAATTTGTTCTCCGATCAGTAAATGCCGACTGACCCGTATCGATCTGGTGGTGAAATTCTGAGAATGCCCCTATTTGGTCGTAAATTTGCGCCAATTTCTATCCAGAATAAGCTGCTCACCATCAGCTGAATAGTAATTCAGCAGAAGTTCCTGAGAGGTATTATGCCAGATTTCACCCAGATGAGAAAGTAGGTAATGAACCCTCAACCTTGTACCGTAATTCTTCGAATGGGCCACAAACCTGACCTACCACGAAAATTTCTCCGAATCACTAATAGTCCGTGATTATCTACGGTCTTGTACTTGTAACAATCGCACAGTACATCGAGAAAAAACTATAAACTCGTCAGCGATTAGACATTCAAGTCGAAGATTACGACTATGCAATTGCTGGTACTGAATGCTATTGCACTGAGGGGACCTGTCCTATCCAAATTTTAAGGAAACGTCATTTCAGTGAAAAATTCCATCCAAAACACTGAAAAAAGAGTGGGTAGAGGCATGCCGCATCGCTTTCACCCAGCAAAACTCAATCTCATCTCAGATCCCTTCCAGGGAACTACCTTCCCCTGGAAGGGATCTGAGTGAAATTCCTTTCATTTGAAGCCCGTCCTATCCATATTGTTTTGGTCCTCCTCTGATAAGGAATACACTAATTTCCACTTAACGAGAAATAACCCACTGCCTCACCACTACTAAGTTACACTGAATCAATATTTCATTAACTTATTTATTTACTATTTACCATTGCTATTTGCATACTATCACATTAATTACTATTACTACTTATTTAATATTTTTTATTTACTACTGTTTCCTTATGTACAAATGGTGCCAACAACTTTTTGAATTTTGTTCCTATAAACAGCCCTTCAGTAGAAACCCCTCATAGATAAAACGCTGGACTTGTAATTTTTACTTTTTAGACAATTTTTCATTTATTTTTAAATCTTTTCAACAATTTATGATACTTTTTCCGATGCAATTTGTTCTTTCAAGTTTGATTAAATTTGATTCTCATTCACCTAATACCGAACCTAAGTTCAAACATAGAGTGATACTGTAATCTTCATAAAGAAGTTCCGTTCCGACACGAGATTCGACCTTTCACTTTTCATTTGTTGCCCTCGGCCATCAGCCTACAGAGGCTGGACTACGATTCAATTTCATTGAAATTTTCAGATCTCAGCCTCATATAATGGTAAAGTGCTGAGAAATGGAAATCATGCTCAACGACTCAAAATCTCTCAATTATTCTCTCTGTCTCGGAGTTTTTGTCGCTACTATTGCTGTTCTGAGAATAACTCGGGCGCTCCACCTAACTCTCAATGTGGGTTTGTCCTTATTTTTATGAATTTTGATTTGAAGACATCATAATAAGGTGAGTTGAACAAAAGACGAAAAGCTTCACAGCAAAGGCACAGGCGCCCTCACAGGAGGGCGCCATGCACTTAATTTCTCTCAAAAGACCTAAGACCTAAGGCATAAATCATAAAATGCAAAAGTGGCCCAATTAAATAAGCTCATTTTACGCTTCTGAATGACTTTATACCATGTACGCTACCCCGAATTTAACCAAAAGTTCGAGGTAGCTGGACAGGTTTTGATCACTGACCATGTTCGTGATGACATGCTCCTTGCCGCTACTCTACCATCGCCTCATACAAAGCAAAAAACTTGTTCTAGCCAGGTTCTTATATAGCATTAGCCTCATTTCACGTAAAATCATCTAATTTGGGTTGAACCGCCACACTGACCTCGTTTTGGGCTAATGTGGTAGCATAAAATCTAGCCCCATGCGGAAGAGGCGTTCTCCAAATTTTCTGGATTGTTATGCGATTTTGTGAATGATTGAATCGTTGGTTAGATGGAACTAATTTCTTGATTGACTGTGAAAAGAATCAGCAGAGGATATCTATGAAAAAGTCCCCTTTGTTAGACGAGAGTTAAATATACAAGGCAGAAGATCGGTAATCTCGCGACCCAGCTTGAATTTCCATGACCTGTGATATGAATAAATTAATCGGTTGGCTGGGTTTTAATCATTACCAAACGATGGTAGAACCAGCTGGCCAGTCACATGTCGTATTCCAGTTCCGTATTATTGTCTATGGACGGAGGGATTACGTGCCAGATACTTCTTAGGTTTATGAGACGTAAGAAGTCGGGCTCAGGTAGGGGTCCAACCGCTGACCAGTTTCCAAGATTATGCAGAGTAAACGAGTCGGCGAAGATGGTGTAGTGCCAAAGGACCCATGAAAATGATTCCCGGACTGATACCGCCTAGGCCAGTTATACCTCCCAACCTTACGAGGACGGTTAAATGGTATCATTCCCATCTGAGTGGATGAAAGCACTGAATTGTACATTGGTAGGCCACTACAAGTCGTTGTATAGGCCATGTACGCATTCAAAACGCCACCGCCATCCCGATCAGAAATCGAATCATGGCGTATCGCAAGATTAATCAACGCCAAAAGACCCCAAGACTGGTAGGTATGTAATTTCACTGTGTAATCAATGAAGGCAGAAATGATAAAAACTATAATAATATTAAAATCATAATATTTTATTATGAAGTTCCAGGAACTAAATAGAATCATAAATCAGCTCCTAAGATTCATCATAGAGAAAGAGATAATTTTCTATAGTAATCCCCACCTCACTTTTATTCACATCTGCAATGGCATTGGGAAGGGAATTTGGCCTGTTCAGGGAACGAATGATTAGCTAAGTTTCAAATCATGACATTCATTCTTCATTCATTCTTCCACTCAACTCGGTGACCGATTAGGCGAGCAGTGAGGCTGAACGGTTCGAGGGACCGACCTCTAGACCATGTAGGTGGCAGCGGTTCAGTCACTCCTACACCATCGTTTTTCCCTTACCCCTAAGTTTCATCAGTGAGCCGTAGAGGAAGGGAGTACTTATGCAGGAAATGGAAATGGAGAAGGAAAAATCTCGATCATTTATAAATTATCTCGGTAATCAACTTTGAAAACCAAGGAGGTACTCGGCAGTTTTTGGATAGAGTAAGCAACAAAACAGCCAAACAAATACCTGCACAGAAACAATGAATATGACTACATAGAAGAAAGGATCATGTGAACTGAGAAAAATGCATGAGTGAGTGAAAATGACTAGAGTGAAAAATATAAATAAGTGGGCAACAAACAAGACAATAAACAAATGTGCCAGACCAAGTACCTGAACAAGAAAAAGTAAGCAGTAACAAAAGATAGACAAAGTAGTGGAGTGAAACGATCTGAAATCAAAACAAACGCAAACAACAACAAACAAACAAAAGCCACTAAACGATGATAAAATTTGACGGAAAACTACATCTAATTCGAAAGAAGTTATTTACATCCAATGCCACCTACGAAGACAATTCGTTGTCCTTGGAGCATACTATCTTCTTTTCATAGAGCCATCATCCTTGTGGTCTTCAAGGGCACAATATTTTTTCATGAAAGGAATCGGAGGGACAAAGATTAAACAAACAGACAAACAAACAAGGTCAAACAAGTAAACAAATAAACAAGCGTTATGTATGTAGGCTTGTATTTATTTATTTTTGTTTGCTGTTTCATAAAAACACGTTTTAGATATATTCAGTTTCACTATTGTTATGCATCTATATTGCCTACGAGTTATTCTACAAACGGCGACGACTTCCTCCTGGTCCCACACCTTGGCTGGTGGCCGGTAACATGCCTTCATTCCTTTTCGGTTAGTATTGATACTCCTGTAATAATCAGTGATATTAAGTGGTAAATAACAATAAATAGTAGAAATGAGCTATTCTTTTTGGAGGAGAGAACAAAATTGACAGAAAACGGGGCATACGAGTATGGAAAATACGAATTGATACGAACGGACTGGGCTTAAAAGAAATACCATCATTTCAGCCTCATCGATTGACGATCTGTTCCAGTCATGGAAGAAACGTTATGGTGGCGTTTTTACTGTTTGGATCGGACCTATACCATTAGTGATGGTCGGAGACTTACCATCGATAAAGAAGTATTTCATACAGAACGCCGAAATCTTCAGTAATCGATGGCGGAATCACGTTACTGATACTTTTATGGGTGAGCTACAATCTTCTTTTGTGGGTAGTCGAGTGAACTAAAAGTCTGAACTGAACCGAAGCACTGCAATCTCCCAGTGTCTGGAAGAACCGTACGACTGGCACTACCCAGGTCGATCGGAAATTCCGTCCATTCCGTAATTCTAACAAAGTTTAATGGATTCTGGTTTGACTAAGGCACTCTGTCTTCGGATACGCTGATCCACTAGACCCATTCTATAGACTATACAAATTCACTATCTCTTCGATTCCATCTGAAGGGCGAGGGTTTGACCTGTTCCAAAGAGTTCATCTAGTTCCTATCGAGAATCCGAACTTTTCGGTTTTTGGTCTGCACACCGGTGGAAACATATAATGACTGCAATCGTGTAATAATTAGCGCATTTCTTTTGCGAGGAACGTCCTCAATTCGTAAAGTAATCGTTACGGCGTCAACATTGAGGTCAACATCAGAAAGACGAAAAAAAATCGTGTCCCAAATGGATTGAGGTACACATCTAACCTTGGCCTGCGAATGATATGACAATGAATCGGAAGTGGAGCAAATTGAACTGGGATTCCTTCGTAAGAAAATGCTGAATTGTTCCGCCGGATTCTATCCTTCCAATCGGTTCGAAAGGGTCCAATTTCAAAGAAAGAGTTGTTCAATTAAGCTGTACCCAATTCAATTTCTCCAGTCTTACCAGTGATGTCAGCCTTGTTCCTCTTAACAAGGCCAACGGTTTTCGATGGACCCTTACAACTCTGGGGAGGGAAACAAGTGACGATTGATCTTTTCGGCATGCGCCATGCGTTCTAAGTCCATCCTAAGTCATAGGGACATTTGAATGATGAGCCCTTGCCTCTGTACCCCCTGTTCAGCGGAAGTTCAACCCCTGAAGTTCCACAAAATGACGTCTCGCTAAATTTCTCATTTTCAGGTGGAGCCAACGGTGTCGTTCAGATAGACGGTCCAAAATGGCGTGAGCAGCGTCGATTTTCATTACATGTGCTTCGTGATTTTGGTGTAGGACGAGCTCAAATGGAAAGTAAAATTATGGAAGAGGTAATAATATCGAACTAACCTTTCATTTTTTTTTCGATTACAATTCAAGATGTCGCTCACAGGTGAGGAAGAGCAGAAACATCCTTGGGCTAATCCTACACTGGGAATTTGTTGGGTGGATAAATAGTGGCTTGACGAAGGAGTGATTTGCTCAATCAAGGGTTCTATCCTTTTCAACAAAATTTGACTTGAATGAAATGCATGGCGCATTTCCGGCTATGCAGTGCTTCCACTGATTTCCTGTTTCATAGTTTTTATAGAGGCAAATTTTTCTCCCGATCCCAATTAACCACGAGGCACACACACCTAATAGTTAACAAATAAAGTCTCGAGCGTTGATCAATTAATCCCATTTGGGGATGCGTTCACCATTCATTCGACACTATGGTGGCATGTGGATGTGTATTTGATCTGTGCATTTATTTGAGAAGCTCAAGCTGGTTTAGTCAGTACTTTAATCCCTTTTGAAGGATTTGGTACCATTTAAGTCGACTTCCAAGAGATAAACCGCTGTTGTGGGCAGAGATTAGGCCAAGATTGGATCCCGGATCTTTCGTCTGATGGCGTCGCTGTTTGGAATTGCACCAATTTGAGACTGTGTTTGTTATCTGATTCTGCAATATAACACTGACGTGAACATCCAGCTAAAATGTTTCTTCCCCAGTAGGGTAACCACTGAAACATAACTGGAAACCCAGGCAACTCATAGATTTACCGTTTCCCGTACTTCTAAGTACTGTTACAGGTAAATGCATTCGCTACTTTTCTACAAGAAAATCAAGGACGAGTAACTATCAATAGTGCCATTGCTGTTTGCGTCGGTAATATCATCAACAACATGCTGTTTGGTGTTCGTTTTCCACAGGTTAGTCTCTCAAAATTACAGTATGAATATAAATACCGTAATCAATACAGTAACCAGTTTTGTCGCTAGTAATCTTTCAAGAAGCATCGTTAGAAAATCTTGACCGAGATTTGTTCTTTCCATTGGTGAGATTCTGTTCCTGACCATAGCCATCTAAATATTCAGGGATCTCATGAGATGCACCATCTCCACGGCTTACTCGATCAGCAGTCTCGTTTGGTCATCAATCCTATCATGGGTTTGTACATAGCTGCACCATGGACAACTGAGATACCGCTGTTGAATACGAAATGGCTGGAGCTGATGGGAATCCGCGAGCAGCTATGGAACTTCCTTCAGAAGCAGATTGATGTGAGTTTTGTGGTGTCGGAAGGAGTTACGCTTTTTACCGTTGGTACTCTTGACGTTTTTTCTGCTGTACATCAGCTATGTGTTTCAAACGCCTGAAACTTTTTTGAGATAGTTTTCTGAAGGGCCGATTTCAGGAGCATCGCGAGAAGTCCGCTTTGAACGACGCCATCGAGGATGATTTCACATTTACATACATGCGTGAGATGGAGCGACGTCGTCAGAGTGGTGAAGACATGGGGTACTTCGAGTAAGTACCGTTTTGCTCATATCGACATAGCTTTCGACGAATCATCCGATGGAGCAGTACAGGACATCTTAAATTCAGTTATAAACTCACTTTATTTTGAAGTGGCTACTGCAACTTTGTGTTCTCTCTTTGACTGGGAGGCTTCTTCGGGCTCCAGAAAGATGGAACTTTCCCACTCTAAGTTCATGGAAATCTAGTATCATCATTTTTTAGTGATTGGCAAATGAAAATGTTGCTGTTGGATTTATTCTTTGCTGGAATGGAAACGACCGTGACCACGTTGAAATGGGGTTTCCTGCTGGCTGTCCTCCATCCGAAAGTTCAACGTCGCGTTCAAGAAGAGCTGGATAACGAATGTTCTGGAACTACCGTGACGCTATCCGATCGACCACGATTACCGTATACTCAGGCGACAATTAATGTAAGTATTGGCTTTCTCTGACAGAAAATCAGACATAGAAAATCTCAGCTTTCAAAATCAATTTGTCCCATTGCTTATTTAGTGTGAATGCTTCCTAGAAAACTGAGGGACCTCTAGAAAATTCTTTTTTTTTNTTTTTTTTTCTCACCTTTACATGTTTTCATCTTCCGTACACATCACCGGGATTTTTCCTTTTCATTTTCTCTGGTCCAGCTTGTTTTTCTTCACATTGGTAACTGTTTACTGTTCTTTTTTCCGGTTTCTGAAACCTTATTTGCTCAATATTTCATTACCATTCACTCTTTATGAGCTTATTTATTTACACGATGATTTATACAGCTACTTGTTGATTTACTTAAATATTAGATATTATATTATTGCTGATCTGAAACATTTTTTCAATTGGCATTAAAAAACTATTTTATTCTTATAGATTTTATTTACGCTCTTTTTTATTGGTTGGCTTTTCTGACCTATTTCAATTTTCCTTCCTTTCCTTCCCTTTATTTTCCCCTCCATTTCTTCAGTTTTATCTGTGCCATGTTCCTCACGATTGATTCTATCCAACGTACTGCCTTCCGACTTTCTATCTTCAGTTTTACTTGTTTTTCAGTAGCCCCTCTAGCTCCCTTGACGAGGTGTTGATTGACTCAGAGTCTCGTCTCAGTTAACTGAATGATTCCAACATTACACTGCTTCCCTCCTGCTCCATCCATCAATACCTCATTGCGGCACGACCTTTACAACCCATCGTCGTCGTCGTTCACCGAGCGGCACTTAAAAAGCATCGGAACGCTCGACGGACACCAGATACCGTAACTGAAGCTTCTCTATGAGACTGAATCGCTGCGTTTCCGATTTCTTCCATAATACCCTTAGGCTTCTGGTTACATATTCAGTTACCAAGAATCCGTAGGCCATCTGATGAGATTTTTGAGGGTTAACTTCCACTAGCCCAGTACTAGGCCAGTTAGACACTCGATGATCCTTCAGTATCGACCATACGGTTCTGAGCTTGTGTGGAAGGGATAAAGCTTTGGGAGAACACTACTCCCTTGATTAGCGAAGAATCTTTCCAATCAATTCAAATTTGAACAAAAGTGGGACACGTGGCGCACTTGGAGGGAACCGGTAACTGCCGAGTGGTCATGAGTAAGAGCATAGATTGAAAAGGAAAGAAAGGGAATCAATGTGAAAGCAGAATAGAACGAGAGATCGAAAGCTCCAGAATTAAGCTTGTGGCTGATAAGTATAAATAAAATAGTAATGAAATATACATTTACATAGGCTTCGTTATTTTTTGCTTTTTTTCTGCGAGTTGCAGTGAAGAATTTACTTTGTTTAGGAAACTTCGATCAGATTTCCTAAATACTTTTTTTTCAGGAAATCCAGCGTATGGCCAACATCTTGCCGATAAATCTGCTTCGTACGGTCAGTGAGGATGTAACCATCGACGGCTATCATTTCCCTAAGAATGCCCTCGTGATACCGCAGATATCCATACTGATGAACGACGAAAACGTTTTTCCGGAACCGAAAATGTTCCGGCCGGAACGATTTCTCACGGACGACGGAAAATTACGACGAATAGACGAATTTCTGCCGTTTTCTGTCGGAAAACGACAATGTCTCGGTGAATCGTTGGCCAGAGCCGAGTTGTTTTTGATTTTCAGTAATCTGCTGAAACGATTTGATTTTCGACCGCCTGAAGCCGAGAGTGGCAGTGGCGGTCTGTCGACGCAGCGAGTTCTTGGTCTTACTGTATCGCCGCCAAAGTATGATTGCCTTGTGCAATTGCGGAAACGTGATGAAAATCACAATTTAGTCTAACTAAGTGTTGTTATTGATTGTTGTGAATCTGATTTGCATGTACACAGTGTCACCTATTGAATCCTATTAATAAAATCGATTTTTCACAGTTGATAACGGCAGGGCCACTGAGTGCAAAGGGAAAGTTCTTTTTCAATGTTAGGCTCCTAATTCCTACACAGCTTTCCCATATCGCGGAAAGCTGCTTGAAGGTAGTCAATCAAAAAGAATCACCTTTTTCCCTTAGACCTGCGCTGCTCTAGGTTACATTCTGATCAATATGAGGAATTCATCATAGCTACTGTCCGGCGGTTCAAATTGGGAAAATATGCGATTTTTTGAGGAAAAGACAGCCTTCTCAGGGAAATGATGCGTTGGATACACAAGAAGACTTGTACAGTAAGTTGTCAAGAGTAGGAAAGGAGAGAAAGAAAAGGAAAAAAAGGCAAAAAATAGAAAAAGGGATGTTGATCAGGTGTGGATGCATGACGGGATAACAAGATTGGCAAGGATGAGCCACGGAAGCCGATAAATGATTAATGTCTTGACCAAGTATTCTCATATGGGAGGTTGATCTGAACCCGACAACGAAACGGTGAGCTAGATTTATTCATTCTTTAAAAGTTTTAGACTTCACTCGGGGTGAAGGTTGAACCATCCCCTCTAGTACTATTCTTCTCGTACAGAAGTTGCGTTGGGTTGAAGGCGGTTTGGAGAGCCTCTGGCGATCGGCAAAGTTAGTTACAACAAAGGCCCAACTTAACCCAATGGAGCTCAAGTTTTTCTGAGGTCGATGAAGTCACTACACCCCACCCACCTTCCCAGCTAGGAGTGGGGAGGGGGGTGGGAGTTTGGGGTTTGAAGGTGAGCATATGGCCCTAATAAGTGGAGGCATAGGCTTATTTATGGAATTTATGAACCTCTATTGATTGACGGTCACATGACGTGACTGATGGCTCAGGGTTTTCCCTTCCTTGGCAAAGTAAGGAGTTAATTTGAGTCAAATGGTCCTTTCATTTCCTTCGAACTCACTTCCGTAGGCTCGTTAGTCGACCGGACATCATAACCATACGGTCAGAAGCTCTATGACCGTGACGGCAAAAAACGAACGAACAATGGCCATGCTGTGGGACCTCGTGTCCTGGTGGCCCATAAAGAGCCATAAACATGGCTTCAGCGACTTCATACGACACGTCCAATCGAAGATTTATGCGCACAGCCGCCTGGTCACCAGACGTGGACGTTGCGTGCGACATGCTCCTCCTGCTTCATAGGAGTTACGTAAGACAACGTAAGAATTAACGAGCGTTACGTAAATGCTTTAAGCCGCTATGCGGCTTGTCTTTGGGATTTTAGAAGACCCATCAACCAGTAGGCTTCTCATGATAGGCTCTGGATGTCGATAGAGTCACCACCAAACTTATGCCCTTCTTCAACTGCTTTGCATTAGGCCATGAAAACACTCTTAGAACAGCCTGAAGCTTGATAGAATCGATTGATGCCCTGTTTATTATGACTGCCCAGGAAAAAATGGATGATTGTGCAGATGCTTCCGTTTTTTTCGGATGATCAGGACATTGATTAACGATCAGTACCAGGGATATTGATTAATGATCGGAAACGATCAGATCTTCAGGAAAAAGTGTAGAAGGTAGAGTATAGAGCAGTTTTGATGGGATGAGTCATATTACATTAGAGGAGGCACCTTAACGCTGCCTATAAAGACTTATAGTATGACTTGCGATTTACACATTAAGCACTCTAAACACCTTTTAAATTTTACAAAGGCTCTAGAGATTAAAGAGATTCGCCTAAATGGGACGAGAATGGATCCCAAGTACCGTACGACATAAGGTGCAAGGGATCCATGGATGTAACCACCGCTCCTCCTTTGCTGTACAAGCCTTCCCACTAATTGTCAGAAAAGAATTCCACAATGAATGGTAAATTACCAGCACAACAGGCAAATGGGAAGTATGGTGAGGTTCATAACAAAAGTACTGATAAAATTTAATAATTACCGTTCAGATTGGTCAATTGCTACATTTCTAATATGGGATTCGAATAGCTTTTAATGAGTATTTTACTAATTTCAAAATTAGATTTAGTTCAAATCTGTCCATATGGAAATGAACCACTGCATTGAATCATCGCTGCTCACAATGGCCATTAGATCGTCGGCAAACGAATTGGGTTGATCAATCGCTAATGGAGTCCGTTCGACTGAACTGAACTGTTAGAAAAGACTATTTTCTCGAGAGATCTCAAAACTATTCCTTTTGATGTTGGGGAAATAAAAATTTTGGCTTTTCAAGAAACCCCAATCATGTGGTGAAGTTACAGAATTCGCTGATTTATGACCATACTGAAGCTTCCTTCAGATCACGGAAGGCAACAGGTTTAGGCTTTTTTGGGCGGATAATTCGAGTCAATTTGGGGTTAGGCTTGATCCGAACAGGAAACGGAGACAGGAATAGGGGCAACTTGTAAAAAGTGCGACTCCGTTACTCTTATAGGATTGGAATAAAATCCCGATCTTCGCTCCGCTTAACTCTGATGACTTTCCAAATGCTGACGTAGGCCAAATGATTGGTTCCCTCTATTAGAACGAATTCAATTGGAGGCCAAGTGCCCTTACTATAAGAAATCATCTGGTGCATGTCTTAGGCGAAGCCTAATGCATGGCTTATTCTCATGTGTATACCTACGGTAGCCAGTGGTTGGAATCAATCGCGAATATTTACAGGCTTATTTGAGGTATTTCAATATATCTGCGTGAATCACTCTGATAGCTTCCTCTCGCTAATCGATGAGCTCGAAAAGCCAAGTACTCAATCGTACCCATGTGACTATCAATCTATGCAAGAAACTTGTGTATCTGAGTTTTCGCCCATCAGTAGATACCTACTCGAGTGATCCATCAAATAGTTTTTCCCTTCCATACAATCAACCCAACGGGCTATACCCTATTTTTAGTGAGGTAAAGCTTTTAAGTGACAGTTGTCTGTATGTATGTCTGTCTGTGAGTGCTATAAACTATTTTATGGCTTAGTAGCTTACTTTAGAGCCCCAATATTACAACCACGAAGTTGACATAGGAATAAATCTGAGTTGATGGATGACCCAGAAGCCGAATTAGTTAGTTGGAATGTTCACGAAAAGCCAGTGATCGAAAAAGCCATTTTTCGAGGATTAGCCATACATACGATTTCTCTCCAGGGTGCATCGTAGTGGCACGTGAGTGTGAGTAGAGATTGTAAAAAATTATAGAGCTAATTAAAAACATCCAATTCATCGATTGGGTGAACTTAAATAATGTGATACCATTCAATCAATCCTGAACGACCGAGGATCTTGATCGATTTGAGTAAGTCGAGATCCAAAAGTGCAGCGCAGCTTCTCCTGTTACATTAGTCCCGTTCCGCTTTCACTCTTTTTTCCTACGGTACTGATTGAGTAGGATGATTCAGCCTATACCTCACGTCGCGCTACCTCTACTGATCCTCACTCTGAGTGGCAGAATAAAGTAACTGGATCGATACCCCCGATGAGGTCGTATAACGTAAGGAAGATTTAAGGTTCCTCTGGAATGGACTGATTCTAGGGTAATCACGAAGGACGAACGCTAAGCCTAGCCTTGATGCCGTTTTAAGATGAAAAATCTGAGAGGATCATCATACAACTACCAAGCCCATGATAAGAGCTTTTCGAGCTTTCCAAGCCAGAAAACTTCTCGTACGAACGCAACCGTCAAAAGAGAGAAACCGGAAGAGGAGCTGCTGAAAGAAAAAATCGAAGAAAACTCGAATAAGAGCTCTGAGACTCTTACAAAATTGTCTGCCTCAAATGGCCCGAATACCAATTTTGCCTATGACCTTTAGAAATTCCTCTAGAACCTCGACAGTGACGTACACCAATCTTCCTTTGAAATCTGATCGTGGCCAGATCCGATCTGGGCAGTTCGTAACATAAATCGCTGACGTGCGACAAATTGCGCTCCATCCGCTTGGTAACTGCTAGCCACTAATCCTCTCCCTTTGAAGGTATGCCGCAAAGTACTGGCGGAGCGCGGTATTTCCTCGAAGCCCGACGGAAATACTATCTATGGTCTGTTTCAGAGAGTTCAGATTTTTATCTACATCAGAGCTTCAGTCTGAATAACATCTATAAAAAAGTGAACTCTTCGGAACCACTATAACTACGGCCCACAAAAAACTCAGAAAAGATGAAGTAAACCGGTTCAGTTCTGCTGATTCTCGTCATTTACTTATTTTGTCTGATGCGCATACAGGTCAACTTCAACCCCCCCCCCCCCCCCCCCCCCCCCCCCCCCCCCCCCCCNGTCTCTCTTTTCCTATCCTGGATATACCTGTGAAAAAGGCAACAAATTGAATTCACCAACTAGAAAATCACATTCGTTTTACCAAAATAGGAAAGTTCTCCACAAGATTCAAGTCTCGAATCCTATATGAGGGTAAGGTATGCGTGAACTCCAAATATAGTCAACTTTCTACAATCCAGTCGAGATCAATTAAATCACGGATACGATGGGGAACAACTGTGAATAGCGTCGATACCTCTTTATAACCCAACAGCTGATTCCTGCTGCCTGTTCATGTTAGTTGTTGTTACTACTTATCCAAGGCTGATACCAATGGTGCCAGATTCGCTATTAGTGACATAACTATTAAGATAGACACCTTCTGGGTATTGCAGAGAAAGTTCGGAGGGATATAGTAGAAAAGGGAAGGAAATTCCTTGACAACAGCAGCCACTTATTCGGTAACCACTTCAAGATAAAGATTTCTGTACATTCCTACTAGTTGTTACTTCAATCATTGTTGTGTAGTATAAAACTAAGACCATTTCATGAATTGCAAACCAAAGTCAACCTTCAGGTAGCCCCAGAAAAGACTCGAAGCTCAGAAACGATCTTTATATGAAACAAGTTTGGATTGGTCAAAGTATCCACGGCTCTGTAAGGTCCAGACTAGAAAAATGAGTCAGGAGATCGCAAATTACTCGAAATATGTTTGGAGTAGTACAAGTTCCCTGTTTAGGGGTTCTATTCAGATCCAAGACCCGAAATCAAATGTTCTAGGTCACAAGCAAATTGAGGAACTTACACAAAAGAAACTAGTGATCAGAAAAAGTTGTGAAAAGTGTTACTCCTATTCTATGAGGAGAAAGTAAAGCAGCCTCAATGAGTAGAACCGAAGGCTGTCACCCTCCATCGCGAATTATTGGTAGTCTTGCTAACAGGTGCCATCCATAAGAGTAATCATGCTCAATGGGCAGTTCGAAGACTATACAAAAATGTCTCACTCTCCCCCTACCTTCAAAGTCCTATCTAGCTATTTCGACGACCATACAAAACCAAATACCTCAATAAATCAGGAAGATACTCTGAACTTTAAATATAACGTAAGCCCATATTCTACTTCACTTCTGGAACTATTTTTAAGCTTCTGGAAATCACTATCGTAGTTTATCAACTTCTTGGTCATCCAAATACCATTACTCAATGAAGAGCTCAAGGTCTCTCTCAGCCAGAATCTGCTCTGTATTCTACCGAATCTGCTCCTCCTCCGCCTCCTTTCTGGCGGCACCTCAATACCGTAATCCGAGTGAGCTGAGTAAAGAAAATAGCGCTAGCCGTACGGAGGGCGGCAAGTTAGACGGCGGCGGAGCGGCTAGAAGTGAGTGTAAGGTGCTGGGGGCTGCTAAGACAGTTGCTCATTTGCCGGTTGCCTGCGGGCGCGCCTGCCGTCCAACTGTCGCCCCCAAAAACTTGGTCCCATTTCGCCCTATAGAAAAACTAGACATTTTAGGTATAGCTTATAGCAGGGCCACCATATGGTGCCTAATAAATTCGCGTTTTATTCGAATTGTTGATCATTAAAAAATCCCATTTCGAATCGGATAAAGACAATTTTCAGAACGATTTCGAAGTTTATCCATATAAATCACGTATTATCGTTAGATATGTTGTGAATAGGATGTCAGCCTCCCTTTTAATGATTATTCATTTTCAGATTACTAAATGAATGACCAAAACTGTCAGTACGATCCGCTCTACGGCAGTTATACTACACAGAACTCACGGGTACTTTCTACAACGGGTTCCACGGAGATCACTACTCTGACACCATTTGCTGCACCACAACCGACTACCGACTACACCGTCTACAACGACCTCTACAGGTATCATCGATTTCATATTCATCAAATTACGAATTTCGCATTTTTTGAGACAATTCGCCGGTTTTGATGTTTACGCTAAGCCATCCCATGGAGTGGAGAACTATGTGCATCGATTAAAGGCGTCGCTAAGCTTGAAAACTAAACAAGCAATGAAATAATCTCAAACGAAGATGCAATTTGTCGGTTGGCTGAGGGCATGGAAGTTCTCGAGAAGGCCATTTACGGACTCTAAGAAACGATTCTGCTCCAGATAGTCACTTGAGAAAAAGAAAAATGGACATGTAGGCCGAGAAAACAAGGAGCGTGAAATTGGCAACGGCGAGGTAATGGGACGTCGACGATGGCGTTCAGAAGCAGAAGTCAATATTGTAGACGTTGACTATGGTCTAGCTGGACAGGACACAACCGACATGCAGCTGGCTGAACAGGGGCTCGGAATAAGCACCTGATTGGGTCGCGCCAGTGCTCCACACTCTCTGCTCGCACCAGTTGTGCTACATGTGCCACACGCAGCTGACTTACGCCTAACGGCATACTCTCGCGACAAATGACCGACCAAGTGTTAACCATTATGTTTCTTTCACCTCATATCGAATAACGACCGAAACTTTCATTCGGTGGAAGCCTTTCGGGCCACCCAGGGCCGTCATGTATAGTCTCGTCGGGAGAGTCTGTTGTGGCGGCGCGCAATGGCAACACGAGACCTCTCGATCTCATACGGCCCCTCACGGATTGTCGGAAAATAGTGGTAAGCAATAGAATCTGTAGAGTTAAGTGGCCCTCCTGAGGGCCCGCCACTGAATTCGCATTCAAGTCATTACTATAGGAAGACGTCCATGTGGGTACTTGGTCTATACAATGGTAGCCAAAGTCGGCTGAACTTCAATCAGGTGCTTCTCCGCTTACGAACGAGCTTGTTACTGGTTATCCATATCGGGTATGGTGGGGATCTAGCTTGTTTTAGAATGGTATCGAGCTGGGGCTCGTCTGCCGGCCAGGCGATCATGCTTGTGGCAGTAGCAACAACTGTCATTACTTCATCTCCTCCTGTTGCTGACAACAGATAGGTGGAGAATCGATTTTCATGAGTCGCTAAAGACCGTCAAGGCCATCAGGGAATCTTCATGAACGTTCTTGCTGGAATCCGCCTCTTCAGCTTCAGATGTATTCCAGCAATTTGTTCAAACAGACAAGTCCGCGGCCCTGTGTTAGGTCTCTAGCACTGCGCCATCTCGTAACCTTCATCTAAAGGGCTTGAACACAGAGTTTCGCCAGGGTTGCCACAAGTTCAGACACAAGGGGCTAAAGTGACAGAACTGTCTGCTGTTAAACATTTGCTAGGAAGCTTACTCCCAACTCCCTTTCAAAGCCCGTTATCCCCAGAATAATCAACAATGGCAATCGTTCTTCGACTGTAATTATGCGCTGTCAGACCGAATGTCTTACTCACTCAGGAGTACTGCGTGCGCTCATACACCTCATGAGAAATGAGCCGGTGCTTAGTGTAATGAGCAGTACCGAAACATTGTCGTAACACTTGGAGGGTGATTCATCAAGCCAAAGTGATGCTTTCGAGTCCTGAAAAAGTTCAGGTTGGGAAAGCAACAAAAAGATAAATCACGCTGAGCTGATGAATTCCATGTCACATAAGTGCTGCCGTTTCGTAAAACGAACAATCTCGTGTTCCTGGAGTGTTTTACACACTTTTATAAAAAGCCAAGAACTCGGAAATTCGTCTACACGACCGTAGAATCGCCCAAGTCAAACAAGCATCTGTACTCCCATAATCATTCCAACGATATCGTATAAAAGTGTGGGTGTGGCTCAACACTGAGGGAAACATTTACCCTTTGAAGTCTTTTCCTAAAAGTCGCAAGGTCGCCCTTTCTTCATAGAACTAATAATTTTTTGTTTTCCCGTCAACCCATCATACGGTAACGCAGTCGCTGACATCTGAGTTGATCGATGAGAGGGAAAATGACCGAGCAAGCAGCAGCTGTTGCTGCTTGGGCCCGTGGAAGAAGCCGCCCACTCAGATACGGGTGATAAATAACTGCATTGCGAAGTTATCGATAAGTCAGCCTCGGATGATTTATTGATGTCCACCAAGTGAGCCAGCAGACCACTGTTTAATACTGTGCGGGGGTTACGGTAGAGGACCATAAGGAACAGAGATGGATTCCGTCTGTTTTACTCAAGTCAAACAGAGACATCGGGAGAAACTCACTGCTAACATCACTCAGACTGGCACAAGCTCGTCCTCAACCCCAATACTGGCAGGTCAGACCAGGATAGTCTGTAGGATGGGAATGAAAGCAGCAACAAACATAGGATATAAATTATATATAAATTGGGGATCCAATCCAAACCAATCGGTCTCTTTAATCCTGAGAANTCGGCTACACATTTTCCTGACGGGGACTACCTAGGTAGATGAAAACTAAAGAGGGTATTAAGGCGCGCCCACAACTAATAGGAATTTTACATCAACATGTTATTGTAGACTTTCCTCAGAAACGGATTGAACCCGGTACTGCACCCGGTTATAGAAATATCTCATAACTTGTCAACTTTCTCCGTATCCACTAGTTTCCAATTGCAATGACTACGGTATTCCAAAAATATTCTAAATATGGTAACCGAATATCAAAGAGTATGCAAGCGCTATGGATTATTCAGATACAGTACCTACTATCCGTCGTATACTGGTCAAACAACAACATCGGCACCGTTCTATCCCGAACTGACCACATTCTCCGTACCACGTGCTGGTGAATTCACCACCACCGAGCAGAAGGATCAAACCTCTTGCATAAAAATCGAAAAAGAAGGTAAGTCAGTTAGATGTGATGCCTCATTCATGGTAATTTGGCCATAAAATTTTGTGTTCCACACTATCACTTTGAAATCAAAAAATCCAAAATTCTATGAATGAATAAATTAATACATTCTTCTAAAGATTTACCAGCCTTGTAGTTGAAGGAAGAGTTGGGACCTTGATGGAAACTTTTTGATAAAACTTAATTGAATCTTCTCCTTGACCACTAAAATTAATGAGACTCGCAAACCGGGATTTCCGCTGTAGTACGATAAAAATTGATCAATCCCNCCCCCCCCCCCCCCCCCCCTTCCTTCAGTATTTTCGGCCATTCGGGCCAATAAAATAAAAATTCACCAACTTCGCCATATATAGTCTGATTCAGATAACCTGCTACATACATCATCGACGTTGGCAAGCGACGATGTGGCAATGGAAACGACCGATCCCAATAATCCGCCAAGACGAAGCAAGTGTATGTTTTATTTGATAATATAGTAGAATGGCTCGTTCTGGCATAGTTCTGAATTGAATTTCTGATTGAGAGCAAAGTCTTTCACGGAAGCTTACGGTGGTTCAATTTCCCTGATGGGCAACCTTTCCGACGCTCAGTTCCCTGCTAGATTAACCTAGGTGATTAGAATTACTGAGAAGTTCGTAGGAAAGTTCACTTCAGACCAAATGTAGTGGGCAAGCTGACATTCGGAACCTTCAAATTCTCATTGGAAAATAAATGCGTTGACGCACTCTACAAAGGGATTGGTTTTACCAGGAAGCTCTGTCCTTTGGATTTTTATGAAAACATTTTTTTTATTTTTAGCTTCTCCTTTTTTAAAATTCTTTTGTTTTTCAGTGGATCGTCGAAAGGCGGCTACAATGCGTGAAAGACGGCGACTACGTAAAGTGAATGAGGCATTCGAAATCGTTAAGCAACGAACGTGCCCGAATCCAAACCAACGACTACCAAAGGTCAGTGAAGCACTTTTTTCTGGTTTTTCGGAATTAACAAATAAAAATCAAATATAAATAAGACAAATTGAACCAAAATGACCAAGACGACGGCTTTTTGGTTGGAAGAACTCTAGAAACCTCTGCTCACATGAATTATCATAGGAATTCCTCTAGTAACACAGATTTCTACTCTGCTACCTAACCAGGGAAGTGCCAAAGAAAATTTTTGTACGTTTCAGGTTGAGATCTTGCGTTCCGCAATCGATTATATCACTAAATTGGAGACAATGCTACATGCTGAAGGGAAAATGACAAAAATCATGGCCCAAAACCAGATGGCAATGCATGGTCACAGCGGAGAATACCTGGTAGGCAAGTTGCTAACTACTCGGCATAAGCCACATCCAGTTGATTTACTCTGACTTGGTAGGAATGGATGGGTAACAACTGGTCAATATTCAATAGCTATATGAAGGTGTTTTATTTTATATATTAACACTTATATTTACTATTTTTGATAAACCGCGATTTTTCGAATCAATCGAAGTCAATTATTTTTGGGAACAATCTGGTAATTTGTCGCCTACTGAATCTCTGGAATTCTCAGATGAGCTTAACAGCCCTTCTATTATACTTCCTAATATGTACTTATAGAGGCTTTCCAATCCGTATTTTAGATCTGCGAGTTGGTTCTCGTAGATTGGGAAGGGTTGCAGCGGCTCGGAGATAGAGTAGTACGGAGAGGGCCGTTCCCGGGTGTGGTGCATTAGGAACGAAATGGTCACGTCGCGGTGAGAGGGGCGTCGCGCGCGAAAGATGTAGAAGGATGCAGCAGTAGGTAAGAAACACAAGAACGAAAGTACTAATAGCAGAATTGCGCATAAAATAATGATCGCTTATCGATTGAGCTGTATGAAGAACGCTAGAGCTGTAATAACGGCGAATGAGTGGTCCGCGACAGCCGCGTGCGGCGAATCGATTACCCAAAATCGTTCCTAACGCCCGTCTCCCGGCCGTTCCCTCACCTATGCTCCTTAGATCAGATCTTGGGTCAATATTCGTTTGAGTCAAAAAAGCTGCCTTTCTCTTTTACAATATTACTTTACCTGTCTAGGATGATAGTTCCTACCAGATCCATCCATGTAGGGAAACAAAATCATTGAAATGCACATGTTTCCCCCTCACCCGCCCCCCTTACCCCCGACCCCGACATCCTCCTCCTCACATCCACTCAATCTAGTTGATTTACTTATAGCGGGTAGATAAGTGTGTGGCGTATTCCAAAGGGTCAGTGCTTATCTATAAGCTCACCCGCTAACGTATAGCTGTTCCAGCCTTCAACATCGGCCACGTTTCCGGCGTCATTCGACGGCTTTGACGACGATGACGTATCGGATTCAGATGACGTTGACAGCCCACAGCCTACCGGTGAGGAAGCCAAGTTAGTATAGCAACTCACTTACTACAATTAGAGCCAAACTTCATGTTATCAAAACGAACAATTTTGAATTCTTTTCTGATTTTTTTCTCGTCAGCCAAAGATCTACTTAAAAAAGCACCATTTTAGCGGAAGGTCGGAAGCGAACTTCATTGGATCGACTGTCACGAATAGTGGCAAACATTGCGGGCGAGGAAGGGGCACCCGTGGTGGCCGTACCACAAGAGCCTCACGTAAATGAACAACCGACACAGCAGCAACAACAGCAACAGCAGCAGTCACAACAGCCACAACAACCGACAGAAGTGGCTTCAGAGCCCGATAAAAAACTCGCTGTCTTGCTGTGAAATTTTCAAAAACAACAATTCTTTCATTCTTCATTTTCTTTCATTTTTTCTTTTCTAGCATTTATAGACTACTTTCACATTTTTAGTCGCCTACTGCATATGTGTTTAAAAATGCGTTTCGATTTTACGCGCCTACAAAATCAATATTCATTCTGTATCATACATATGTTTGTGGGCTAACTTGTGAAAGCAGATAATTTTTCGTAATTCTATAGACCATGACGCTTAATGATGTGATGCACAAGTGCCTCGTGCCTCTATTTTCATGCAGTGACTTTCATCGATTAGTCGAGTCCAAGGCGGACGGTCAGAGACGCGCGCGGTCGCAACACGTTCTCGTGTATTGCCAACACTTGTTTTTTGAGCTAATTACATTAGGCATTAGTGCTGTGACTACCTATGCTCTTAATTATATAGTCGTCTTATTGCATAATATAATCAAAATTTTCGAATGTATATTAAATTAGTTAATTGTACTCATTAATGATAATTTATATGATATACGTTATTTCTCGCTCAGCAATCAAAATTTGAACAAAGATGGTTTTCACTTAAAGGGTTTTGCGGTTGAATAAATCTGATATAAACTTGCTGATTGGATTGCTTCTATTTAGATGGCGCACTTGGATAACAGTATCACATGTTTCACCCGTCGTCCTGTTACTCATCGATTTCCTCAAGAAGTTGCCAGTAATGCCGTCATGGCCCTTGTCTCGAGTTAGCGTAGTCGCATCATTCTCGTTCAACGAACGCCAGGCATAGCATTCCATCGTCCGAAGCACTCATGAAAAGCGCGGTCGTCAACAGTCCTAGTGTCCGTTTGATGTTCCGGAGGATCTAGACAGCAACTCGGTCATACAATACGCAAGATGTTTCCTGCTCAATTTGAGCTCGATTCCTTAACATAAGCAACTGCACACGTGATCATCGTTAACGGATCTCGATTCTTACGACAGCTCTGTGCACTTGCGTGTATCCGAGGAGTCAAGAATCGTCCTTTTCACATCGCGTTGGATGACGCTCACCGTTCGTTCATACTGCTTCCGTAGAGTTCAAGTCTCCGAGGCGTACGTCAAAGCAGAAAGACCGCAGTGTCGAAAAGTTGGTCGTGCAGTCGGATGTTCTTTTTCTTCTTCACTACTCCCTTGATGTCCTTGAATGCTTGCCACGCCGCGCGTTTCCGTCTGNTCAGCTCCGGAGCTAGGCCGTTCGTCCTGTTGATTTCTCGGCCAAGATACACGTAGCTAAACAGTCGGAGATGTTTTTCGTTTAGCATGTAGTGTGCATCAGTTATCAATTATTCCAAGGTTTAGTCCAAAGATGATCTTTCCACAAGCATTGTCGAATTCAGAGAGATAATGAAGTTAAGATCGTTCTTCATGCTCAATGATCGGTGTTATAAGCATGTCGTCTGCAAAGAGAGAGATGATGTAGTTAGCGGTCATTGACTTTACCTCCCATATATTCTCATCTCAAAAAATGAATGTTCTCGAGAACATCACTGGAAAGCCAGAGTGAGATAGCGTCGCCCTGCCGAACCCCTTTCACCAGGTTGACAATGAAATCCTTGTAGAATGGCGAGGTCGTGGAATAAAGCTTCGTAGAGCTTACAGAGAACTACTAGATATATACTGCATACGAACACCCTGGTTGCATAAGGCTTCAATCATCTCTTCTGTCTAGACGGTATCGAGGCCTTTTTCGAGCGGATGAGCGTAGGACGAAACG